CCAGATATAAAATGGAGTTATGCAGATCCATTTGTTAGCTTTCCAGTAAGTAGGGGAGGATGAGCTGGGATTGACTTGGATGCTGAAGTTCAATAATAAATGAAATCTTCAACTGTTTTCCTGTAAGACAGTCTGACTTGCTGAGAGCTCTAGCAGGTAGGTTCTGCCTGCTGTGTCAGGAGGTCTGGGCACATTGTGGACACTGGCCCCTTGTGCTCTCTCTAGCTTCTTGGTGTCTCTGGCTCTGTTTGGGTGCAGAGGGCTCTCCACAGACAGGCTAGGGTGGGGATGGGGTGGAGGGGAGGAAGGAGCAGAGCCAGCAAGGGAGGAGGATGAGGCACTTCATTTCTGGCTGATGTTCATAGAGTTGATCCTGGTCCCAGGAGTCAAGTGGCTCTTCTTGGTTGCAGCTGACTTTTGCTTGTCACAGAAGACCTTGGTGACATGTGGTGACAGGTAGGTATTTTGGCAGCACTTGGCCATGCAGGGCCCTGGTCCTCATTAGGTTGTCAGAATGGGCTTCTGCTGTACTCCCAGGATGTCTGTTAGGATCCAATGCATCAGCAAAGAGATATAAGTCAAAGTGTGCATAGAGAAGAAACTTCCATTAGTTAGGTTCAACTTCAGCCACGACCTGACCAGGGATAGTCCAGTAAAAGAAAGGGACCAACTAAAAGTTGTTCAGGTTGGCTCCACTGTCCTCTTCTTGGAGAAGCTCTTTGATGTTTTTGGCCCAGTGAGACTTCATCTCTGTACCCAGGTCATCTCACCTTTCCCCAGTTTTATTGCTGAACTTCTGCTTGAAGCTGTCAATCATGGAGATGTTGGCGTAGCTCATCTTGGAACTACCCTTTGCTGTCCATCGTGTGTTCACTGGCGGATGCAAACACCTGCTGGGATTTCTTCCCTGTGGATGCAGATGTAGTCATGTCAGGGTACATGCACACTGCACCAGTCACCATGTGGTTCAGCTGCTGCAGGGTGAGATTCAGGAGATTCTCTCCTTTCAGTCAATGTCTTGGAGACAGCCAGTACACCTCCACCTCCACTGCCCTCAGGCTGCACCTCAGCCAGCTTCCTCCCTTCAGTGCTCTTGCTGCTTGCACACAGGCCAGATGTGGGGAACATAAGAAGCATATGGTCCTGCCTGGACACATTTCTCCATGAAGCAGGCAAACATCCATGTCAGAAGACAATGCAGTCAGCCCTAAAGCACGTGAGGCAGCAGACCTGACAGTGCAGGCTGAGAGGCTGCACTCCTAGACTGTGACTTGGTGCAGCCCACTGGCCCAGGGAGGCATCCCCAGCTCATCTCCCATGCCAAACCGTAGGATTCCAGGGCACCTTACTATCCTGGATGCACAGGAACACCAGTCTATATATATATTTTTTTTGACACTGAATCTCACTATGTAGCCCAGGCTGAACTGAAGGCAGGACCAGTGCATTAGGCTTAATTGTGCCAGCTAGGCAGATGCTTTACTACTTGAGCCACACCCCAGTCCTTTTGTTTTTAAGGTTTGTTTTTCAGGTAGGGTCTCATGCTTTTGCCCTGGCTGGCTTGGAACCACAATCCTCCAATCTATGCCTCCGGAATAGCTGAGATTAGAGGCATGAGCAATCACTCCTGGTCTTAATTCAGGATTTTTAAGCATGGAACATTTATCACTTTAGGATTGAAAAAGCATTTTTTGTTAGTCAGGTTGAACCCAGGGTCACACAGTGCTTACAGCTTGTCAAGTGCTCCATGACTTGAGCCACACACTCAGTCCTTTGTTTTTTTGCAGTACTGGGGTTTCAACTCAGGGCCTATACCTTGAGCCACTTCACCAGCCCTTTGTTGTGAAGGATTTTTTCAAGATAGAATCTCACTAACTATTTTCCCGGGCTGGGTTCAAATCGCAATCCTCCTGATCTCTGCCTTCTGAGTAGCTAGGATGAGAGGCATGAGCCACTAGTGCCCAGATTGTTTTTGTTTTTGACACAAAGTCTTACTAACGTTGCCAAGGCTGGCCTGGAGCTCACCATCCTCCTGCCTCCACCACCTGAACGGGTGGGACTTAGTCAAAGAGCTAAGCCAAAGAATGGCTGAAATTCATGAGATTTTGTAGGGGCTGACTTTAGACACCTCCCTAAACTCTAGTTTGAAGCTGTTTCTATAATTGGCTATCGAATTAACTTCTTGCTGAACCCAACCATCTGGCTGCCCCCATCCTTATTGGACTGGATATTCTGAGAGGGTCTCATTAGTCCATCCTGTCTCTGAAAACTGTCATGTACATTTTATGAGTACTGCTCATTATTTTGGTAAGACACCCTTTTCGTTTTTCTTGGGAAATTTTGCTATGTTACCCTCCTTTAGGGATTTATATCTCATCCCTTTATCTTGGGGAAGTTTTATCTTGTCTCCCTTATCTAGGAAGAAAAACTGCTATCACTACGCACCTACGTGTGAAGCTGGTTTCTCCCATCTTCCATAGTATTTTGATTTTAAGGATGCCTTCCTGTCTCTTTATCTAAGACAAAGTTTCTTCTGCCATCCATCCCTTACATTCTCAGCATTATGTCTGTCGTTTGCTCCCAGGGACATTTCTTCCATTTTATTTCCCCTCACATTTGTCCCTGTACAGAATACGTATTCAAAGAGGGCTTGTCAAATAAGTATTAAATATTTATCAATACACCACTGAATGTAATCCACTATAATCACTGTCACAATATTGAAGATACTTAGAATCTAGCTGCTTAGAACGGCTTATTTTCACAATTATTTGGTCACTAAATGAAAATAAGCGAGTTTGTACCTATGCTGTTATTTTCTCTGTGTTCACCATTATACTATCATCAGGCAGTACTGCACGAATTTGAGTTTTTTGTTTATTTTCAGTACTGGGGATTGCACTCAGGGCCTCACACTTGCAAGAGTTCTATCACTTGAGCCACATCCCCACATCCCCTTTTGTTTTTAGGCTGGCCTTAAAGGGTGATCATCCTACTTACACCTCCCAAGTGACTGGGAACACAGGTACATGCCTTCACACCTAGCCTTCACATATATAAATATATATATATTGTGCTTGCTAGGCAGGCACTCTACCGCCTGAGCCACACTCCCAGACCTTTTGGCTTTAGTTTATTTCTCAGGCAAGGTCTTGCACTTTTTGCCCTTGGTGGCCTGGGACTGTGATCCTCCTAGCTCCACCTCTCCCATAGCTTAGATTACAGATGTATGCCACCACACATGGCCCCAGTTCCACACATTTTAAGGAGCACTGAGGGCTGGCGGAGTGGCTCAGGCCGTAGAGTGCCTGCCTAGCAAGTGTGAGGCCCTGAGTTCAAACCCCAGTACTGCCAAAAAAAAAAAAAAAGGAGCATTGAAAAGATAGCAGGGCACTCTTTAAAGCTGAGAAAATAATTTTTTTTCATTAATTACTGACTATAGGGGTAAGAGCTGATTTGTGCAGAGGCAACTGTGTATTTTAAAGGGAGAATGAAGGAGTAAGAAATGAAAAATAACAAATGGGTTGGCCAGTGTAAATGCACTTGGCCACTGTGCCCCTAGCAGGTAGTCATGAAGTTAGGAAGATGCTCAGGTTTTTTGGAGAGACTGGTGAGCTGTAAAAGACCACAGCCTCCCACCTGAAACCCTTCAGTGAGTGCTCTAGGAAAGGCAGCTCAGGGCCTGCGGGCCAGTGGTTCTTCATAGGGAGCAGTTAGACATAAGCAGTGGCCACAAAGAAAGGAAAAATCATTGTAATTCACCTTTTCAACTCCACTAATCTCTATTTAAGCTCAAGTAGCCAGAGCCCAGGGGCTATCACAGGATGCTTTAAGTTAGCCATGACCCTAAAGCTTAATTCATGCTTGCCCAAGAGTAGTGGACACCCAAGGTTAAGAATTTCAAACAGAAATTATCTATCAAAAGCACAGGAACAAGTAGATTATTCAATGTCTCTCTTAACAAGCTAATGACCCTTACTGCTGGAGTGGCTCAGGTAGTAGAGCACCTGCCTAGCAGGTGAGAGGCCCTGAGTTCAAACCCCAATACTACCAATGAAAAATTAATAAAACAAGACAATGACCCAAATCCAGGAAATCATCCCCTGGGCCAAAATGACCCCTCCCTGTTTTAATAGCCATCTCTGCCACCCAGACCTAGTACCTTTGTCCACGTGTATTTCCCCAGCTCTCCAATATTAGACTAGGAGATGGGGACTACCATTTTGAGTTTTTGCTCCCATTTTCTGCCGAACAGTCTGCTGAAAGTGTGATCCTTTCCTAATAAACTTTACTATTACTTTTGCTAAATCTTTGTATCTTGCTTGAATTCTTCTACCTAATGCAAGAACTGAGGTAATTTTCAAAGCCATTTTCTCCAGTAACATTTCTGGCTGGGAGCCAACAGCTCGGCCATGGCAGGCAGGGCAGCCCATGGGGTCCTTCGTGCTCAGACTTCTGCAGTTGTCAGGAGCAGTGCGACAGCTTTGCTTCTGAATGCCTGTGTTTGCAGCTCTTCGGAAACCGCATCCTTTGTCCGTATTTATTTATTTATTGGTGGTATGGGGCTTGAACTCAGAGCCTCACGCTTAGCTAGGCAGGCGCTGCACCACTTGAGCCCCTCCTTAAATCAGCCTTGGCCCCTACTTAAACCTTAGGGAAAAACTTGAGATTGGGCCCTTGGTTCTGCTCTTGCAGGAGGCGCCCAGCCAAAGTCTGAAGACCACAACATATGTGGTGTCCCCATGGGTCTCAGCCTCCTGGGAGGCCGGTCTCGGGCTGCGGTCGAGCCCCGCCGCTAACCCTGAGACCCGTGTGTGCGAGCCCGCCTCTCCCCGGCCGCGCCCCACCTGCCAGCAGCTCGCAGACTTGTCCCAAGTTCTCATATCCCAGCGGGCAGCGCGACCGGAAGTGCGCACCACCGAGAGGGAGCCGGCCCCCCACGGCGATCCTAGAGCGGCGCCGGAAGTCCCTCGGGCGGGGCCGCGGGCGACTTCCGGCCGCGGCGTGCGGGTGGCCGTGCGGGCTTTGTCGGCGGCCCGGGGGCAGTGCGCGGGCGGTCTGCGGCTCTGGCGCCGGGCCCGCGCTGTCCTCTCGCCGCGGGGCGCCGGGTGAGTGGCGCGTTGCGGGCTCACGTGGGCGGGCTGGGACGTGGGGGTCTCCCGGAGCCGCCCTGGCCGCACCGCGCTGCGTTGCGTTCGGGCCCGGGCCCGAGCCCGGCGTCTTCGCCCCGCCGAGCTTCGTGTGGTAAATTCCTGGCTCTGCCCCGCGTCGCTCGCGCTCCTCGTGGCAGGGCTTGCACACCCGGCTTGGCGGCTGCGGTTGGCGTTTCCGTGGGGCTGTTTTCAAGCCGGGTGAATTGGGGCGTGCGGGAGTGGGTGTGTGCGGGTGCAGGTGCGGGCTCAGATGCAGGTAGGTGCTTCCTGTCGCTTTCCGTGGACCCTGCCTGCCCGTCCTCCCTCCCTGGGCTTTTTGGCCTCTGTAGGTGGAGATGCGGTGCGGGGACCTGGTTGCCGCGTGAGAGGTGTAAGAGGGAGGTGTGGCAGTACAATCAGCTGCTGGGCTTGGCCTGAAGGAGGTTCCCCGGATGGGGTCAGGTGGTCACCTCTGCAGTCCTGCCTTTTCCACGAAGCTTCCATTTATCCCTAGAAGTCTGTGAGGCCCAGCGGCCTCTCTGTGCTGGTGCCAGGGATGTTTTACCTCTTTACCTGGTGTCTGCACCATGGTCAAAGGGTTTCCAGGGATCTTATCTGGATGCAGGTTCTAAACTCAGGCTCTTTGCCTGTATTTACAGTCGCCCTGAGTACTCACAGACATCGTTACATCGTTCATTTGAGGTCTGGTCCCAATGAATGAGAGAAGTAAATGTCATCTGCCCACCTAGGATTTGAGAAATCCCCGTTTTCCTAAATCTTCAGGCAGTACTTCATTCCCTGTCCACAGAGAGGGACCTTTGTTCCTGTGATAGACATGACTGATGTAATATCAATATCTTAATACCTGCCATAACCATAGTATCTGTCCTGTGAGAGGCACAGAGATTTCTCAAGCCTGCACATGTGGCTCTGGCCTCTTCTGCAGCTATGGGGTGGATCCCTGGTTCTGGAATGGTCTCAGGGATAGTAACGAGAGGGAAGAACTGTTAAGTCCCTGACAGCTTTCATGACCTGAACTGTAGAAGGAGGTCAGGGAAGTAGTGGACCCAGAACAGGGTGGCTCCATTGAGGCAGTTCAGAGCCCCTAGTGCTGTCCTGGTTTGTGAACAATAGCTGATGGACAACAGCTTGTCAAGAAAAAGAAGCTGTAGAAGTCCTTGACAAGAACCCTGAGCACTGCTGCTAGGGGCAGAAACCCAACAGCCTGGGGGCACAGATGGTGAGAAAAGGAGCTCCTAGAGGACAGCCAGCAGATAGCTCTACTTCTTCCTTTGACCTTGAGAAATCATCTCCTGGAGCTTCATGGATGGTTGTGAGAAGAACATGAGCAAGCAAACCGCCTTGCTCGGTGTCTGATGCACAGGACACTCAACTCCCTCCATGACTGAAGTAGCACATGCCCAGGCTCCTGATGGGGCCCTCTTGCTCCTCTTTTCTTTTGTTCCTTCATTTTATTTTCTTCGGCAGTACTAGGTTTGAACTTGGCCTCATGCTTGCTAAGCAGGTGCACTACTGCTTGAGCCACTTCAACCAGCCCTTTTTTGTGTTAGGTATTTTCGAGATAGGGTCTTGCAAACTATTTGCTGGTGGCTGGCTTCAAATTGCTATCCTCCTGATCTCTGCCTCCTGAGTGGCTAGGATTACAGCTGTGAATCACTGGTGCCTAGTTTGGGCCTGCCTCCTCCCTCCTTCTCTCTCTCTCTCTTTTTTTTTTTTTTTTTTTTTTTTTAGTGATATTGGGAGTTGAATTCATTGTGTGCTAAGCAGTTACTCTACCACTTGAGCCACACCCCCAGCCCTTTTTGGTTTTCTTTTCAGGTAGGGTCTTGAGTTTTTGCCTGGGGCTGGCTTTAGACCTCAACCCTCCTACCTGTAGCCTTCCGTGTAGCTGGGATCACAGGTGCATGCCACCATGCCTGGCTTATTGGTTGAGATGTGGTCTCATTAACTTTTTGCCAGGGCTGACCTGGAACTTCCATCCTCCTGATTTCCACCTCCCAAGTAGCTGGGATTACAGCTGTGTACAACTGCACCTGATCCTTCCTCCTTTCTTAGTTCTTCACCAGTGTGGATGTGGAAGTGAGTGCCGAGAGGGGCATCTCTTGTACACTCCATTGCCACTGTCACTGCAGCTGACAAAGCACTGACTCCATTTACACATCTCCTGTGGGCTTATTTCCAGCAGGTTGCATATGCAAGGAAGGGTCATGTTGTTGGGGTAGAAACCTGGAAGGCTCCTTACTCGTTACATCCAAGTCTCTTTAAATGAAAAAGTGTCTTTGTAGTTTTTCTCCTACAGTAGACCTTGGTATCGTGGACATAGGGTTCAAAGGAGACCCGCTGTTGAAGAAGACCCTTGAATGCTCACAATGTGCAGTTTAAACACAAGCAGTGATAACAGGGCTGACTGGGCTTTTCTCCATCAACAAAACTGTGTAATGTGCATGTGGGTCAAAACCACTTGTAATAAATTCATAAATAAGTCAGGCTTACTGTATTTATTCATAGAAGAAAAGGAGGCTAAGCAGAAACTTTAAGATTGATGATTTTGGGATAAATGTTTCTTCAAAGCAAACAGTATTCTATTTGGGAGGCAGAGATGAGAGGATCACAGTTTGGGGCCAGCCTGGGCAAAAACATAGTGACACTAAGACAGTAAGCTGGGCATAGTGGTGCACAGCTGTCATCCCACCCACCAAAAAGAGCTTCCTCTAAAGCTTGAAAAATTATGAAAACCATTAAGAGGCACACACATTGTTTTAAGCTATTCCTGTAAACAGATGCAACCTTGTTTCTAGGTAGTGCATTCATTTTAAAAACAAAATTAGGGACTAAAGCTGTAGCTCGATAGAACGTTAGGCCCTGGATTCCATCCCTTGCACTGCAAGAGATAAAATAAATAAAAATCAGAAGGTATCACTGACTTCTGAAACAAACCACATTTCTACCTTAAAAAGCTTAAAATAGAAACCTTTTATAATACCTATCCCAGCTGTCTCTAAGCAAAATAGTCTATAAAAAGTGACAACCCAGGCTGGTGGAGTGGCTCAGATGGTAAGAGCACCTGCCTAAATCCCAGTACAGCACCCTCCCCCCCATAAAAGAGTGACATATCTGAGAAGGAAAAAGTCCCTTGTGATGAGGAAATGGGCACTGCAAGCACACAGACCTGATTTGAACTGGTTTGGTGACCTTGGATAAGTTACTTTTGCTCCTAGTCTGTTTCCCCTGTAAAGTAAGCAGTATAGCTAATACCTACCTTCTGAGGAGTGCATGTGGTAATGCAAGTTTTTTGCTCAGCCCTGCCTGACTGGGGTGTGAGGGCCTGGTGAGTATCCCTCCTTTCCAAAGTCCTAAAGCTGTTGAGGCAGAAGCAAAAGTCACCTCTTTACTGGCCAAAGGTTAGATTGAAGTGACTTCCTCACACCAATTGACAGTTAAACTCTGGTACATTCTGGCTGGCAACACTGCCTCTCTGCAGCCTCCTCATGGGGCTGTCATTAAATCTCCTGGCATGGAGGAATGGAGCAGAACATGGGCCCCTGGAAACAGCTGGTTCTCTGGTGGAGGGGTGAAAGAGGTTGGGCTCAAATGCCTAGTTATTGTCCAAGTGTGTCATTCCAAGTAGTTGGGAAGAATGCTGACTTCAAAGTCATGAGGGAGTAGGAAAGCCTTGAAGGTATTGGAGCAGAAAACATGGTTTAAGTTTTTAAAGGCTCATTGTGCTGGCCCTTTAGGAGAGACAGAAAGGGAGAAGTATGGAGACAGCTTAGAAGGCCGTTGCCCTTGTGTAGAGAGTAGTGATGGTAGAGGATGGCACTGGGGGTTGTGAGCAGTTGACGGGTGCAGTGTAAGGCCCAGCTTTCACTGCCTATCTGCTGGCAGTTGGTTCTAGGGAGAAGGGAATCTATAGGATCACTGTACCAATTGCCTGAACAAATGGGGTAATGGAGGTTTCATTATATAAGGGGCTGGCATAAGAAGAAAGAAGTTGAGTTTGACTCCTAAGATTGGAAAAGTTCCAGGGGGTGAGAGGGAGGACCTTTGATTAAGTCAAGGACAACTTGCCCCATGCAGCCAGAGGGAGGCTAGACAATTGCAGATACAGGTAGGTGGTGGGAAGTGGACATTGTTGTCACAGTGCCTCTACTTTGTCATTGGGAGGAGAAGCAGTGGGGTAAGGTGATGAGGGAGTGTGAACATTTTAAAGAGGGAGAACAGGAAAGTTAGGGGAGTGTGGAGCATTGCTGGTAGCTCTTGGGTCATAAGGCAAGACCTTAAATACAGAGCATTTGGTCAGCAAGAGAGCAGACAGGCTAGGAAACAAGCTGAACATAACTAGAGCTTGGTGTCACACAAGCTGACAGGAAGAGAAGGTTAGATATTTGAGTTTTTGTGAAGAGGATGAGTATACAGGTATTCCTGCAGATACTGAAATCAAAGGATGCTTGAGTACTGTATAAAATTATAGTGTTTGCATGTAACCTACACATGCGTACTTTAAATCATTTCCAGATTACTTACCATGGACATACATTGTAAATACTTGTTTACTGTATTAGGGAAAAGTGACAAGAAAAAAGCCTAAAAGTCCAGTATAGACAGTCTTTTTCTTCAAGTGGTTTTGAAGAGGTTAGTTGAATATTGGATGATGCATAACCTAAGGATGCACAGGGCTAGCTGTGTAAATTGACAAGAACTGGCAGGTAGGTTCAGGGCAGGTAGCAGAAACAACTGAGACTGTCCTAAGAAACGTGATTTAATTCAGGGAACTAGGTGAAACAGGAAGTCCTACCTGGGCTCTGGCTTCAAGACCAGTCATTGCAGGTCAGAAATGCTGCAGCTGTACTGGGGTGCAGCTCAGTGTGAGAGCATGTGTGAAGCCGTGGGTTTGATCCCCAGCACTGAAAAACAAAAACAAGAAACGCAGGTGCTGCTAGCACAGTAGCTTTGTGTGTCATGTGTAGCTCAAATTGAACGCAGTACTGTACTGTACGCCTTGGGATCTATGCTGGAGGACAGAAGGCAGGAGATGAAAGAACGAGGAACAGTGAAGGGCTGGTAGAATTGATGTATTTAAGTGTTCACTTGGAAACATGTCTGGACTTTTGAGCAGAGTTCCAGTTATATCCCTACCCTTTTGACCCCCCCACCCCCTAACACATGGGGACAACTGACTGGGGTCAGACAAAAGTTATGTTTAACTGCACAGGGTCAGGGTGTGGGCAGAGGAAATTTAATGGATGTGAGTTGAATTTTGCACCTGCTTCAGCAGGTTCCTGTTAACAGAGGGGAAAGACGATCTTCTTTCATTTCAGATTCTGCCTCTAAGCTGGTGTCAAGAAGGTGACTTGGAAGCCTGAATTCTGAGGATGAAAATTCACATAAGATGATGTCAAACAGTCTCGCAGTGATGGAGCCCCCTGCCCCTGAGGCTGGGGAAGTCCATGAAGTCACATTAGGGCAACTATTAGGGAACCCAGAAGGGCAGAGCTTGGGGAGTCCCCCTTCTCAGGAAGGGGACTTTAAGCAGGTGACAGTGACCCATTGGAAAATTCAAACAGGAGAGACAGCCCAGATGTGTAGTAAGTCAGGAAGAAACCCTATTCTGAACTCAAACCTTCTTATACTTCAGAGAGAGATCATAGAAGGGGAGGCCCATCATTGCAGTGTTTGCGGCGAAAGCTTCCCATTTAATTCAGACCTAGTTAGACATCAGATTTCTCACACTGGGGAGAAGGCTTATAAATATGATCACTGTGGGAAAGGCTTTGGTCAGTCCTCACACCTTGCTGAGCATCAGAGTGTCCATGCAGGGGACAGACTCTACGTGTGCAATGTATGTGGGAAAGACTTCATTCACTATGCAAACCTCATTGAGCATCAGCAGGTTCATACGGGAGAAAAGCCGTTCAAATGCACACACTGTGGAAAAGCATTTTGTCACAGTTCAGACCTGCTTCGTCACCAGAAGGTTCACACCAGAGAGAGGCCTTTTGAATGCAAAGAGTGTGGGAAAGGCTTCAGCCAGAGCTCCTTACTCATTCGCCATCAGAGAATTCACACGGGAGAGAGACCCTATGAGTGCAATGAATGTGGGAAATCCTTCATTAGGAGCTCAAGCCTCATTCGGCATTACCAGATCCACACTGAAGTGAAGCAGTATGAATGCAGAGACTGCGGGAAAGCTTTCCGCCACCGCTCGGACCTCATTGAGCACCAGAGAATTCATACTGGAGAGAGACCCTTTGAGTGTCATGAGTGTGGGAAAGCCTTTATTCGGAGCTCAAAGCTTATTCAGCATCAGAGAATTCACACTGGAGAAAGGCCCTACGTATGCAATGAGTGTGGGAAGCGTTTCAGCCAGACGTCCAACTTTACTCAGCATCAGAGAATCCATACGGGGGAGAAACTCTATGAGTGTAACGAATGCGGGAAGGCCTTCTTTCTCAGTTCATACCTTATCAGACACCAGAAAATTCACACTGGTGAGCGGGTGTATGAATGTAAGGAGTGTGGGAAGGCTTTTCTGCAGAAAGCCCACCTCACTGAGCACCAGAAGATCCATACTGGGGACAGGCCCTTTGAGTGCAAAGACTGTGGGAAAGCCTTCATTCAGAGCTCCAAGCTGCTGCTGCATCAGATCGTCCACACTGGGGAGAAGCCCTACGTGTGCAGCTATTGTGGCAAAGGCTTTATCCAGAGGTCGAACTTCCTTCAGCACCAGAAGATGCACACGGAAGAGAAGCTCTATGAGCTCAGTGAGCATGGCAAAGCTTGTACCCCACCCCCAGACTGTGTCCACCAGGATGGGCTTTCCCTGAGTGAGGCCCCCATGCATTTGGGTGAGAGGGCCACAGGTCAGGGGGGTCATGTGGATAACTTACAAAGCAATCACTCTCTGAGTCAGTGAGTGGTGTTTGGAAATGGATGGACTTAGGATTCATGCGGCCTCTAAGGTTTGGACACGTTAGAGTTTCCTGACTTACGGATGGGCTGCCGCCAGGGCCAGAGAGCCAGGGGATCAGATGGCTGACCTGGAACTGGGTGTTGTGGGGGTGGTTTCAAGAAAAGGTTTCTAGATTTTATTCACAATTTACAACCCACTCTTGAGTTAAATCCTTTCAGAGCAGAGCTGTGTGTTTATTCTTAGCCACTTGAAAGGTTGGAGAAAGGGATTTTTCTCATGCAAAACCATGAGCTCTCTCCCTGTTATCATGGAGCAGAACCTCAAGCCCCTGTCCTGCATCCTAAGGCCTTTGCGTCCTTGACTGCTTAGCTTACGCCCACATAGTTGAAATGTACTGCTTCTCACATCCTCTGAGCTGCTCCCACACTGTCCTTGTTTGAAGGACCTCCTCCTCACTTCCCAAACTCCTGAATGATGTACAAGGCTTTCTCGGGCATCATGCCTGGACATGTGTTCTTTGTGCTGAGCCCAGTGGGTCCTTCTTTGCTTCTATTGCTCAGTGCTCACCTCTGCTACTGTACTTTGAAATATTAGAATCATGAATTACCTCATGTGCAGTTCCTTGAAGACAGTGATCATGTCAGATTGATTCCTGTGTCCCAGTGTCTAGCACATGGTAATAAAAAACGCCCCCAAATCTGTGTAATTGGCATTTCTCTCTCTCTCTCTCTCTCTCTCTCTCTCTCTCTCTCTCTCTCTCTCTCTCTCTCTTTTTGAGACAAAGTGTCACTATGTAGCCCAGGCTGGTCTTGAATTTGCAATCCACCTGTATCAGCTCAGCAGTATGATATATTCTACTGGGCTTGTCTTCTCTCTGAGCCGTGTTAATGCCTCCTGTTCCTGCCTAAAGAAGAGTTGCAAGTAGTCGCCTGTTTACAGTTAGTGTCCTCTTGTTGCCTGTAGACTCCCCTGGACTTGTCTGCTGCACTCAGAGGGCATTGTCCTCACTCCATGTCTGCACCTTCTCAGACACTTGGATGTACAAACCCAGGGTGGTGTATCAATTTTTTCTGTTTTAGTGGCTCCAAGATTGACTCGGCTCTTGTCACTTCCTCACTCTCTGGCTCCCATTGTCGCATAATTGAAACTTCATTAAGATCTATAAGGAAAAGTTCAAGATTCTGGGAAAACAAGAGTAAGGTGCCATGCATCCATCCATGTGGAGTTAGTTGGGAAGAGACATCATGGGAGTGAAGTGTTGAAATACAGGTGTGTTCCAGCTCTTGTAGGAGCATTAGGTAAGGCGGCGTCTTAAAGTGACATTTTCATTGGTCCAGAGAGGTCCATGGATGTTTTGTCAGCTAGAGGAGGAAGAATGATTCAGGAGAGGTCTCCACAGACCAGTAGACAAGGAAGGCCGCTCTTCTGGTCAGGCTGTCAGAGCAGGCAAGTTTAGTTCATGGTGGGTTCCATCCAGCAAAACTTCTAGTCTTTGCTTCCTAGTTTCTTTCATCTAAACATTGGCCACAACAACCAGTTTTGAGATGATACAGAATAACTTCTATGAGGGCATACTTTGAGTTTTAACCAATTCTAGAAACCCTGGAAGCCTCAAGGGAGCAGATTGTCCAACAAGGACATACAGTGTCTACAATGGAAAACTCAGTCACTGGATATGGCAGAGGTGACCAGACCATTTTAATCAGTACAGTAGAACACCTACTTCAAATGTGCAGATTTGGAAAATCCCTACATTCATATGACCACCACCATTGTCAAAAACATTTTTCATACCCCAAAAAATTCCCTCTTGCTTTCCCAGTGACTGGCCTCCGAAGCAACCACTCTGCAGTAGATTAGCAGCGCTTGTCCTAGGCCCGCTCGTTCATGGATCTGTGTAGTTTGTACCTTTGTGTCCGACTTCAGTATGTCTTTAGCCTCAACCAGGTTGCTTTGTGTGCTAATAGCTCTGTTTGCTGAGTAGTGGTCCATTGTATGGAGAAACTTACTTATTCATCCACCTGTTTATGGAAATTTGACTTTCCAGTTTTGGTTCTTAAGAATAAAACAGTATTTGTGTAAGAATATTTATTTGCATGTGTTTTAATTGCATGTGTTTAATTTCAGGTAAATACCTATAACATTTATCACTGGGTTATAAGATAAATATCTTAGTCCCCTCAGGTGGCTATAGCAAACTTCCATAAGCAGTATGGCTTAAAAACAACAGGGCTTTATATCTCATGGGTCTGGAGGCTGGGTGATCCAAGCTAGGTGCAGGCAGACGTGTCTGGTGGAGATCTTTTCACTGTAACCTCAATGGCAGGGAGGACTTAGGGTGCTTTCTCTGGCCAAGGCCCATTTCTGAGGGCTCTGCCTTCATGACCTAGTCACCCCCTAAAGGCCCTGCCTCCTAACACAATTTTCATGGGCACCCAGGATTTCCACATGAACTTGGGAGTACACAGTCCATTGCAACAAATGCATTTCTGACTCTAATGAATCGTCGCAGAGCTCTCTGAGGTGCCGTACCAGTCTACACTCCTGCCAGTGTGGGAGTGCTCCTATTGCTCCCCATCCTTGATAACACTTGGTATTATCAGTGTTGGGGGAGGTACTGGAGTTTGAGCTCAGGGCCTACATCTTGAGTCACTCCACCAGCACTTTCTGTGATGGGTTTTTTTTTTTTTTTTTTTTAGATAGGGTCTCATGAACTGTTTGCCATGACTGACTTCAAACTGCAATCCTCCTGATCACTGCCTCCTGAGTAGCTAGGATTACAGGCGTGAACCACTGGCACACCGTCTAGACTTTTTTTTTTTGACACAGTGTCCTACTATGTAGCCTAGACTAGCTTCAAACAATGCGTAGCCCAGGCTGGTCTCTGATTTACAGCATTCCTGCCTCCGCTTCCTGAGTTCTGGATTATAAACGTGCACCACCATGCCCAGCTAGTTTTAACCTTTTTGTTGGACCTATGACTGGTTTTGACTTTATTTTCGTGTACAGTGGAGGATAGGGGCCAGGACAGCTGACTGTTTCTGTGCTATTTGTTGAAAGATTGTCAACTTCCACACTTGTAAAAATTTAAGTGGCAGTTTACAAGTGCTTTTTCCCCCTTTCATCTAAATGTTTTTACCCTAATAAGACATTATCGCTATTGCTTTAGTTTTGTAACATGTGTTGGAATTAGGTATTGGAACTGCTTCAGTTTTTTTTCTTTTATTCATATGTGCATACAATGTTTGGGTCTTCAGTTTTATTACTAGAACTTTTCACTATGCATGGCATGAGTAGCTCACTCCTGTAATCCCAACTACTTGGGCAGAGATCAGGAGGATCACAGTTCAAAGCCAGCCCAGATCAAGTAGTTTGTGAGACTCCATCTTGAAAACACCCAACACAAGAAAGTGCTCACAGAGTGGGTCAAGTGGTAGAGCGCTCACCTAGCAAACTGAGGCCCTGACTTCAAGCCCCAGCACCAAAAAAACTTTGGACTATTCTAGATCCTTGGCATTTTCATAATCATTGAGTGTCAACTTGTCAATTTCTACAGAAAGAAAGCCTCTGGGCTCCATCATCGATTTAAGGGTAGCAGACATGGTAACTTCTAGGCTTCTAATTCTCAAACATGGTGGAGCACTTGCTTATTTATGCTTACTCTTAATCTGCCTCAGTGCACAGATCTCGCATGTTTTGTGAAGCATAGGTATTTCATGTTCGTACATGCTGTTGCAAATGGTACAGGTTTTTAGAAAAGCTGTTCTTCAGTTATTGGTAGTATCTAGAAGTTAATGTGAGTTTTGTATCTTGATTTTATGATCAATTCACTTTTAGTTTTTTCTAGATTATTCAGTTTTCTGTATAAATAATTGTATCATCTCCCAATTAAGAATCTATCTTTCCAATTTATATGGACTTTCTTTTTTCTTTGCCTTATTCCTCTACTAGGTCATTTTATAATTTTCACTACACGTGGTGAGAATACACCCTCCATTTCTGTTGTTTTGATGTCAGGGTAATGTTGCTCCCAGAAAGTTGTGACTTATTTTATTTACACTGGAGTTGTTTGTGCAGTAATGACATATTTCTTCATTAAATGTTTCATAAATTACACCAGTGAATCTGGGGATTTAGTTACGGGAAGGTTTTTTAAATTGCAAATTCCATCTCTCTGTTTTTTTTTTTTTTTTGTAGTGAAGTTTGAACTCAGCTTCACACTTGATAGGCATTGTACACCTTGAGCCACTCCACACCTTGAGCCACTCCACCAGCTTTTCTTTGAGATGGGATTTTTCAAGATAGCATCTCACGAACTATCGTGGGCTTGAGCTGCAATCCTCCTGGTCTCTGCCTCATGAGTAGCTAGAGTTATAGGCGTGAGCCACCAGCATCTGGCTAGGTTTTGTTTGTTGGTTTGTTTTCTTTTCTTTTTGAGATAGGGTCCTGCTGTGTTGACTAGTCTGGTCTTGAACTCCTGGAATCGAATGATCCCCCCACCTCAGTCTCTGAAGTGCTGGGACCATAGGCAGGCACCATCATGCCTGGACTTGACATTCCATTCTTTTAGTACATTCTATTTAATTATGTTTAAGATCATAATCTCTCTCTAATATTAGTACCTTGTGTCTCTGTCCTGATTAGTCTGACTGCAGGTTCACCAGTATTACTGACCTTTCACAGAACTGGCCTTTGCTTTCTGTGACTTCCTCTGTCATTTGTATTTTGTCTTGAAACAATAATTTTATTGATTTTATTTTCCTAGCATATTAAAGTGGAAGCTTAGGTTGTTAATTTATATCTTTATTTTGGCTTTTTTAAATAGTAGCTCAGGCTGTCCTCAAACTTTCAGTCTTCCTACCTCAGTCTCCCAAGTGCTGGGATTACAGATGTGTGTCACTATGCCTGGCTCCTTTCTGTTGCTTCCTTCCTCCCTCCCTCCCTCCCTCTCTTCCTTCCATCACTTGAGCCACCATATCAGCCCCCTTCTTTTCTGTCATATACATTTAAAGCTATCAGTTTTTCTCTACTGCTTTAGCTACTGTCTATAAAATTTGATACGTTGTATTTTTTTTGTTCAGGAACTTTTTTCTCATTTATCTTCTGATTTCTTCTTTGACCGTGATGTATCTGGAAGTCTGGTGTTTAATTTTCAGATACGTTGTTGTTATTCGTCCCTGATTTAGCTCATCATACTTACAGAAGGCCAGTTCTTCTGATTTCAGACTTGTTCATGGCCCAGAGTCAAGTCACCTTGGTGTGCCTTCAAAAGCATATGCATCTGTCGTTCACTGGCCATGTTCTACACCTGATTAGGCCAGGAACTTCCATCACCTTAGTCCAGTGTTCAGGTCCTCTCTCGTTTCCATTGTGTCCATTTGTAGTTGACCAGTCCAGCACTCCTCTCTCAGTAATAGCACTGAGCGTTCATTTTATGGACTGTAATTGTGGATTTGTCTGTTTCTCTTCTGCTTGGGCAGCTTTTCCCTCATGAATTTTTCAGCTGTGTTGGGACTACATAAACACTGAGGGTTGCTATGTGTTTTAATGACTCTAAATTTTGTTGTGGTTTGGATATAAAGTGTACCCAGATACTCATGTACTGAAGGCTTGTCCTGAGCTGGTGGTCCTATTGAGAGGTGATTGGGCCACAAAGATGCCAGTTCATCTATTGATGAGTTCATAGCCAAATGGCTGTTAGGAGGTGGGTCCTGGT